CACACTGTTGGAATTACTTCTTTGCCCCATATATATATTATATATATACAACAAGTTTGAACGTACAATTTGTATAAAGGGTAATTTTGAACAGTTCAGGTATATAATATATAAAAACCAGGGTCACAAATATCACATGGGTTATGTAAATAATAAAATATTCAATTCTTGCAACAATCTTGTCTGTCCGAGCCTCTGTCTTAGTCTTCAATATGGACACAAACGTTGGGTATGTATTGAACACCGACACGTGCTCATCTGTCTTTTTTGTACTCTGTTTGAGCCTCCACGGGCTGACTGTTTGAATTAGGAGTATGCGTTGACCTTCTCTCGGGTTGGTCCGCTAGTACTACGGACACAGATCTAGACGGATCATTCGCCTGCTTATAGTTCGGATATGTGAGGAGCCCCCCAGTTGTGAGGAGCAAGCCGGCCATCATGCACGCCACGTCCAGGATGGTTAAAGGGTCCGTAGGCAGCACGCTCCAAGTCTGATCAACGTAGGCAGCCACAAGACAGAGAGACCCTTCTAATAGAGCCACCAGGCCCAACACTCTCAGAAGATTGCTCGCGTTAACCCCTTCAGGGACTCTCTGGATTTTACTTACGTCGCTGTTAAGCTCGTCACAGGGATGCTGATTTCCACACTTATTAGACATGGTTCCGTATTGCTCTGTCATATTTCAGATTTCTGAGGAAATAAATCAATATCGAATTAACTTTATACAGACATCTATAGCATTCGTTGTGTGTAATACAAAGCTTAGTGCAAGTCCCTTCCTAGTGTAACCAATCTTCGTTCCGAAGGTAGGCAGGGACGAAAGCCCGGGGGAAAGGGTAGGAGCTTGGAGTAGTGGGCTAGAATGCATCAGATGTGAAAAGTCTTTTGATAAAGGCGGAATATGGCAGATATGGTGAATGTGTTAAATCGAAAATTGTTAAGATGGTATTTATGATTTTTTTGTAATTAAAATGATGTTATTCAACTTTAGAATATGTTTATCTTATTTGTTTGATACTGTATACCAAAGATATTTTCTAATAATTGCAAGGAGGAGAGTAATGGTCCAATTACAGGAGAGTAATGGTCTAGTAACAGGAGAGTAATGGTCCAGTTACAGGAGAGTAATGGTCCAGTAACAGGAGAGTAATGGTCCAGTAACAGGAAAGTAATGGTCCAGTAACAGGAGAGGAAATGTCCAGTTACAGGAGAGTAATGGTCCAGTAACAGGAGAGTAATGGTCGAGTTACAGGAGAGTAATTCTTCAATTATGGGAGAGTAATGGTCCAGTTACAGGAAAGTAATAGTCCAGTAACAGGAGAGTAATGGTCCAGTTACAGTAGAGTAATGGTCCAGTAACAGGAGAGTAATGGTCGAGTTACAGGAGAGTAATTGTTCAATTATGGGAGAGTAATGGTCCAGTTACAAGAAAGTAATGGTCCAGTAACAGGAGAGTAATGGTCCAGTTACAGTAGAGTAATGGTCCAGTTACAGGAGAGTAATTGTCCAATTATGGGAGAGTAATGGTCCAGTTACAGGAAAGTAATGGTCCAGTAACAGGAGAGTAATGGTCCAGTTACAGGAAAGTAATGGTCCAGTTACAGGAAAGTAATGGTCCAGTTACAGTAGAGTAATGGTCCAGTTACAGGAGAGTAATGGTCCAGTTACAGGAAAGTAATAGTCCAGTAACAGGAGAGAAATGGTCCAGATACAGGAGAGTAATGGTCCAGTTACAGGAGAGCAATGGTCCAGTTACAGGAAAGTAATAGTCCAGTAACAGGAGAGAATTGGTCCAGTTACAGGAGAGTAATGGTCCAGTTACAGTCGAGTAAATGTCCAGTTACAGGAAAGAAATAGTCCAGTAACAGGAGAGTAATGGTCCAGTTACAGGAAAGTAATAGTCCAGTAACAGGAGAGTAATGGTCCAGTTACAGTCGAGTAAATGTCCAGTTACAGGAAAGTAATAGTCCAGTAACAGGAGAGTAATGGTCTAATTACAGGAAAGTAATGGTCCAGTTACAGGAGAGTAATTGTCCAATTATGGGAGAGTAATGGTCCAGTTACAGGAAAGTAATGGTCCAGTTACAGGAGAGTAATGGTCCAGTTACAGGAAAGTAATAGTCCAGTAACAGGAGAGTAATGGTCCAGTTACAGGAAAGTAATGGTCCAGTTACAGGAGAGTAATTGTCCAATTATGGGAGATTAATGGTCCAGTTACATGAGCTTCTGCTGTTTTATGTGGCACACTTTTAGCTACAGGGCTGAATCTTTCTACAGCTAGGAAGAACTTGATTTCATTTTAAGTTCTAGTTTGAAACCTTTTGAAACTACATGCTAGTATCTTAAACGACTTAAGATACACCAAAGGCATTTAGCATTATTTTACATATGATTCAGCAATATGTCCGCCATGTACATTTCCTAAAACCTAAATTGTTAAGAACTAGTGGTGATATTTCAACATCGATTACTCGAATATATTGAAATAGTTACCAAACAAGATATAAATGTATGCGTGCGTGTCTTTGTGTGGATTTTAATTTACAGCAGCTGCTAAACCGTACCTTGTACGTGTGTTGCTCTGAAAAGTTTGAAAAAAAGAGAACATTCGGGAGCAACCGTTTTGACAACACCTGTGTGTAGGTTTTAAATAACATTTCCCCATACTGCTGCATTGCAGGTTGCAAGTGTCATATCTATATATGTTACACTATTGCTTATGATTTAGTATTAGCACTCATGACAAAATTATATTCCATCTTGAAAATATTGTGTTCTTTTATCTTTAAGACATTCCTGTTTTGAACAACCCTTGTGGGCATAGTCATTACCGATAAAGCCAGTGTTAAAACCCATAGACTGACGTCATCGATCTCAAACATTGGATCAAACGAATAAAAAAAGAGCCTTTACGGCATGAACACATGTTATGACAGCACGGAAGGTGACTTAATCAATACTTGGTGCAATATCGCAAGGTTTTAACGTGTTAACGTTTCTCTGTTGTGGAGAAAACATATGTGATACTCCAAAATGTGGAGAAATCATTTATGATATTCGTAAATAAAGAAGCATGACCCGGAGGAGCTATCGCTAAGTGATCAGCAAACAGGTCCATTGCCATTTCCAGATCAACTGGAATTTCGGTAATAAGGAGGCAAAAGATAATGGCATGCAGGAAAATGTTCTCTGAACAGATGGAATTGCAGCCGGTGCAAATACCAACATTGATTACATCAAATCACTGAAGATTCCTGATGCAGAACGTTCTATCTCGGACATATTTCCATATGGCTTTGTACTCAATTCAGAACCATAGAGGTAAAGAATACCATTGTAGACAGAGATTGGAAAAATGTAAGGAAACAATGAAAAAGTATCGAAAATAAGTTTACAGAGTTAGATAGAATTCTGGGAAATCATGATGATGATGATGATGATTAACTTATGTCCTTGTGTACAATGTACATGTGCGATTATGCGTGTACATTCTGTTTACATACATGTATAAAAAAAAAAAAAAAATGAAAAATAAGAACATCAATAATATTGTTGAATAGAAAACAGTTGAAAGTTTGTTTTTACAGTAAAACATTGGAAAAATCCTATCGACAAAGAAATCAGGGATGTTATAAGAGAAAAACAAGTCTCTCGGAAGGAATGCTTTCATCGGTGATAAAGGTTCAAAGTAACTATAAGGCAATTAGGAGTCATAATCGTTCGATATAAAAACGAAAACGGAAATAAATATGTAGATATCTATTCCGAACCAGGAAATGAGTATATACGTCAAGAACAAAATATGTTTCAAACCAGAACTAAAATAAATTGAAAAATATATATAAAAACCCTATCAAAACAGTTAAAAATGGTTTAACTAGAGTACAATCCTCCTGGATGGTTAGTACTATGTGAATTGCTGGAATATTAAAAATAGCTTAAATAAGCAGATACGTCCGTATGAGTCAACTAATGACGTAACTTTGGGTAGGAATTATAATATATCAGGCATTCGCATTTATTCATTAGAATCAGCGAAACGTTTTGATCTGACTTACACAAGTTAATTGTTCCTTTTGAATTTGACTGTGAATGAAATAGCTGTCGGAAAATGAGGTAACACCCCGAGTAAAGCCATCTATAAATAGTTTTACAAGTACATTTGTACACTGTTAAGTGACTAGAAAAGACATAGCGTATTTATGATTAAATATATGTTAAATTATGTAAAGATATTCTTACATCATTTATATGAATGCAGATAATAGGTACATTTATCCATTTATTATTATCATACCGTTGTCAGTGATATTTAATGTGTATATGGTCTTAATTAAAAGGACCGGTATCGGATATGACCGCAATTAGTACAAGCGAAGCTCACACAGTAAATTAAAATATGAAATAGGCAAACAAAAGCTGTAAGCCCAAATGTTTGCCTTGATTTCCAAACGTACCTGGTACCGTTCTGTTAGCCTGCCATATATTGTTCTATAGCTGTACCATTGATGAGTGTGGAGGAGGATTCCTCAAATAATAGCATACATTTCACGACACGTGTTTGATGTAAAGAATGACACGTAGATTATTTTGAATGGTTGAGGAGACATTACGTCCTTGCTCCGGTTCTTACCAAGCTAAGGACTAAGCTACAAAATATATATATTGTACATAATTTTTTAAGATGACCTACAATTCTATATTTAGAAACTAGTCAAAATTATTTATTCTCGGTTAACAAGTCTGAAGATGCCACCGATCGCGACTACATCTTGTTCTTATTTGTTAAAGAAATATTTTAATTCAATCAAACTTCGATCACAATTTTTTTTTAAATCTATCATTCGAACCCTTATAAAGATATGAAACACCTCTGGAAATAGACGTTCCTATAATTTCCATAGCTGACGCAATACTGTTCGTTTGGTAGTAAGGGGGATAACTCGAACAAACCTTGGCCACGTGGCCGTGTTTACGTTACATGTGCCGTGTCATTCTGTGCTATGTCAGCGCCAGCCAAGCAATCGCTAATGATATTGTGTTTTCTTCCAGTATAAATATCTTGAAATACCAACTATAGCACAACTTTAACCTTTTACACACGAAACTAGAACGGCATTGCCAGCGTCTAGGACAATACTTCAACAAAACCATGTTTCTCTGGGATTGGATGCAGTCAGTTCTGCAATTTTTCGGTACGTACTCATTTTATCCATACGCATATTCAACTAAAAAATTTGTACGGATAATGATAATTTAGATTAACTTTTAAATACTGTCTCATTAAACCCCAATCATGTAAGTGTTTATTTTATCTATTTTATAATTACTTTTTCAAAAGAGTTATGGGGGTCTCTTTTAAGATATACGTATCATATACACGAGAAAGCTGTGTGATGTAATTTAGCAATAGTGTGAAATAAAAAAATACACGCAATGTAAATAAATTCATTCTTTTCATTTCCCAAAATGTTGATGGCGCACTGCATGACTTCTTTCATTTCGGTAAATGTAGGAAACAGAAAATTCAATTGTTTCAATTAGAATACTCTATTTATTTCACTAATACGTCATGCATGGAAGTCAAGAGCTGACATTTAAAACACCTTAAAAATGAGCAATATATACTTGTGATAGATTTAATAAAGATAAGTGCTGATTTTTCAAAGGCTTCAATAGAACCGCTAAGATCATGATTGTTGGACTGGACAACGCGGGCAAGTCCACCCTACTGACCATGCTGAAGACAGGACGTGCTGTGCAGTTCCCGCCGACAGGCCAGGCACGTGAGTTGATTAATGCATTTTCATTTACCTGTATGAGGGACTGGCGTGGGGCATGGGAGAGCGTGGAACTTGTACAAGTGACAATGTCTTATATGGGGTCTAGAGCTTTATAAAAGCATGCATGGTTCAAAAGGGTCCTTGTGTATCATTACCGAAACAGGGGATTGGGTGTCCTAAGGCCCCGATGACTCCTCATGGTCCACCACCATTATTGGTCAGAAAGCGTAGGATGTAACGTTGGCACAAATCGGCAAAAAGTTGGTTAAACACGTTATCCCAATGTTATCCGCACGTAAGTTTCTTGCATCCCAAAGTTACATGTAAATCAACTTTGGCGAAGGTTATCTTGAAATTTATAACGTTGAGCCAGGATGGAATTCAGAATATATAACTGGAATCAATAAATGGCAACATCAAGTAAATTTTGATTATTGAATAAACAAGAGGGTTTTTTTTGTATATGATATGGAGTTTCTAATATATAAGACACTAATTGGAAATATTCTATGGATAACACCAACGCTCAGTCAACAATACAACCACAATCAGACGTTGGCCCAGCATATGCTGTCTATGAACATTTGTAAGTACCCGTGATATTCTTTGTCTCCATAGGATGTGAAGAGATGACTATTGGTGGACTTACCATACAGGCATACGATCTCGGCGGACATATGACAAGTAAGTGCGTTCTCTGGGGTTAGTACGATCTTAGCGAGTGAAAACTCGTCTTATACTGTGTCGGTTACGAAGCAAAGAGGACAGCAGGGACACATATGAAACATTGTTTTAAAGATATGTCCCTTTAAAGTTCAAAACATATCCATAATATTAGAAAGTGTTTCACAACATTTGAGGACAGTTTACACTGTTCAAGATAAGGCAGTGTTGGGCATACGCTAATATGTGTGATTCTTTTTGTAACTAAAAAATAATACGTTCAAATGTTCAATCGAAATAACATGAAAATAGCTACATATGAGGATATATTTCTTTTCTTCCCAAGTGCGGAGAGTTTGGCTGGATTACTTCCCCGCTGTAGATGGGATTGTTTACATCATCGACTCGGCAGACAGAGAGAGACTCCAGGAGAGCAAAAACGAACTTTCGGTAAAAATCACAATAGTTGTCATCTACATACGTACATCTAATAGCCTTACTACATACTCTTAATAATCTTACACGTCTCAACCCCCCTCTCTCGCATACCTACCCCTAATAACCCTAAATTATTACAATGCCTCTCTCATACAAACGTACCCTGATAATCCTATACACATCACAACCCCTCCTCGTACATACGTACCCTTAATAACCCTACAATTCACAAACTCTCTTTCACGCATCACAACCCCTCTCTCACACATACAACCCCTCTCTCACACAACTAAACACCTAATAACCCTTTAAACATCTCCGTGAATCCCTGCTTCACACTATAGTATAATTATGTACTTCTAAAAATACATGTGCAAATAATTTCACCTTTGCTATGTCAGAAAGAAATGTGTCCGACGTCTCACGAGCTCGTATCTACGTTTAAATATTATAGCTATTTTATGATAACATTCATGAATCAGTTTCAATTCAAGATATATATCTTATTAAATATCCCATCCGGATCACAAATCCTGTTATATTCAAAACATGTACAGAAAACTTATATATCTGTATATTGCTGGTTTAATATTTTCTCTGATGTTGTGTTTCAGAGGATCGTTGAAGACCCCGATATACCTCCGGTTCCTATTCTTATACTTGGTAACAAGACGGACAAAGCAACAGCTATCGGCAAGGAAGAGCTCATAATGAAATTTGGCCTACAGTGTCATCTGAATCAGGTAGGTACAATTGCTTGACAGGATTTGTTAAAGTTATATGTCCCAGTTTTGAGAAAATAATATTCGTCACACCTAAACAAGTCGTGTTATAGTTATCTGCCCCTGTTTTAATACTTATGTATCACAATGTTTGCCTCACTTAGACAAGTCTTGTTATAGGTATCTGCCCCTGTTTTAATATCACATTGTTCGTCACACCTAGACAAGACTTGTTATAGTTATCTGCCCCTGTTTTTATATTACAAAGTTCGTCTCACCTCGACAAGTCTTGTTAACGTTATCTGCCCCTGTTTTGATATCATATTGTTCGTCACACCTAGACAAGTCTTGTTATAGGGATCTGCCCCTGTTTTAATATCACATTGTTCGTCACACCTAGACAGGCCTTGTTATAGTTATCTGCCCCTGTTTTAAAATCACATTGTTCGTCACACCTAGACAGGACTTGTTATAGTTATCTGCCCCTGTTTTAATATCACATTGTTCGTCACACCTAGACAGGCCTTGTTATAGTTATCTGCCCCTGTTTTAAAATCACATTGTTCGTCACACCTAGACAGGACTTGTTATAGTTATCTGCCCCTGGTTTAATATCACATTGTTCGTCACACCTAGACAAGACTTGTTATAGTTATCTGCCCCTGTTTTAATATCACATTGTTCGTCACACCTAGACAGGACTTGTTATAGTTATCTGCCCCTGTTTTTATATTACAAAGTTCGTCTCACCTCGACAAGTCTTGTTAAAGTTATCTGCCCCTGTTTTGATATCATATTGTTCGTCACACCTAGACAAGTCTTGTTATGGTTATCTGCCCCTGTTTTAATATCACATTGTTCGTCACACCTAGACAAGTCTTGTTATAGGTATCTGCCCCTGTTTTAATATCACATTGTTCGTCACACCTAGACAGGCCTTGTTATAGTTATCTGCCCCTGTTTTAATATCACATTATTCGTCAAATCTAGTCAAGTCCCAGTATAGTTATCTGCCCCTGTTTTAATATCACATTATTCGTCAAATCTAGTCAAGTCCCAGTATAGTTATCTGCCCCTGTTTTAATATCACATTGTTCGTCAAATCTAGACAAGTTCCAGTATAGTTATCTGCCCCTGTTTTAATATCACATTGTTCGTCAAATCTAGACAAGTCCCAGTATAGTTATCTGCCCCTGTTTTAATACTTATGTATCACAATGTTTGCCTCACTTAGACAAGTCTTGTTATAGGTATCTGCCCCTGTTTTAATATCACATTGTTCGTCACACCTAGACAAGTCTTGTTATAGTTATCTGCCCCTGTTTAAATATCACATTGTTCGTCAAATCTAGACAAGTTCCAGTATAGTTATCTGCCCCTGTTTTAATATCATAATGTTTGTAACACCTAGACAAGTCTTGTTATATTTATCTGCCCCTTGTTTAAATATCACATTGTTCGTCTCACCTAGATAAATCTTGTTAAAGTTATCTGCCCCTGTTTTAATATCACAATGGCCGTCTTATCTCGGCAAAACTTGTTATAGTTATCTCGCCCTGTTTTAATATACTAATGGTTGTTCCAGGAGGCGAGATTCCAGGAGGCGGATGATGATACATCACAACGCCGGAAGTGTCAGCTGTTTATGTGTAGTCTACTGAAGAAAAATGGATACGGGGACGCCTTCCGGTGGTTGGCAAAGGCCACAAACAAATAAACGTGATGGCACTAAAAAATATAGTAATATGTCTGCCACGTAGAAACAGATCATTACATGACAGCCTTAAAGGACGTAGATGGTGACCCCGACGATGACAAGATAAATCGTTCCTGAAAACAAAAACATAACTTACGGAACTTAATGAAAACAAAACTTAACACCAATCAACAACAGTGATTTGAGTGTAAGAATGATATGAGGACATACCTGGATGTTAACCAAGATTATCTTATCATTATACGTAATTTCACTCTTAAGAACTGAGCTGCTAGTCAACGGTAGTACTACATGTAGTACCCCTGCAACGACGCTAGTTATATTTAAAACAAATTAGTAAAGGAGCGAGTTCGGTTTATACGAACAAAAAACAGTGGATTGTTTTCTAGCGTTTGCCTGCTATGGGACAGTGATCCTTAATTGACTACAATGATGTATTTCAGACCTCGGGGACAATGCTATCTAACAGGATCAGATTACATGAGATTATTCTAAACACATTATATGTTAGTAAAAATTGTATACGTGATATAAATGTTTTACAATGTAAAAAAATATGTTACATGTGAAATCTTGAATGTTGCAATGTCAATGCAATTTTTACCAATTGAAATTGTGTCTCTTTCAAACGTGACACATCATATTATAGTAATTATGTTTGTTAGAACTATGGGAGGTGTAATTGACCTCCACTTCTGCTATTGTAATGCAGTAGATAAATGAAGTATGAATATGAATTTAGTCCTATTACTGTGTAAAGTGATACATTTATATTTTTGTACATTGTTATTAAATTCGGTTTTAAAAGTTATATCATTTATTGTTCAATAAAACGATTATAAAATTGAGGCTGTTTTGTTGTGTTCTCTAATTACCTCACACGTAGAGATATGATCGCCCCCTCCTCATATGTGGGGGTTCATAGAATAGTTCCCTACTCTAAGGTTATGATAGAGAGATCTCAACCCGAGGGATGATGTTCTTGCTTGTCTAACCCATTGCTTGCTTCAATCATCTTACCCCGAGGGTTGAGATTTTCTTCGGCATACCCTCAACGTAGGGGATGATTGTTTTTCTCCAATTCTATCAATAACATATTTGAGTACACTAGTAATCAGAATTAGTTATGTGGTTTTTATCCTGATTTTTAATTGACTTCTCCAGTCGAAATCTTATTGTGACGTCATAATTTACTTATTTTACGATGATATAACAAGGAAAATGGAATATTGCGAAAAAGGAATACTGCAAGGATGTTTACAAGACAATCAATGAAGGAATTTAAAATTAATGTTCTACGGGGGTTTAAAATAACGCTAAGGCAATTTGGAGCAATAATCAATAAAAAAAACCCACAGGAAAGCGTAAATAGATATCTATTCCAAACTAGGAAATTAGTACTTAGGTTTAGAATAACGCAACAGAGGAAAAGCAAATAATTAAGCGTCGGTTTTTTTAAATTGTATTTGTTACGGAACCAGAAAAAAAGGATATAAAAAAATCTAACAGAGCAGTCAATTTTCAAATGCAAACATTGGGCGTCCGCTACTGCAAGTTCCCGGCTGTATATACGGTACATTCATGTAATTCAAGGAATAAGAAGCACGGGTATAACTAGAGAATCAACTTGATTGGTTGTTATCGCCAATAAAACATGTAGCTCGAGAGGAAATGTCAAGAATGATAGATTCACAGAGGGCCAAATCAGGCAGGAGATTCAACTGTTTTCTCGCTGACAGTAGCTAAAATATGGAATCCATTACTGTACAAAGGGTAGTCACGGCACCGAGCACGAACACGTTTCAAGAAAAAACTAGATAAGGCATGGAAAAATCAAGAGCTACGTATACTTTACAAGTTTCTAGAGCAGACGGTGTAACTGGCTAATCAAGAAGTGGCAATGTATCAAACAATGAGGAGGAACAATAAGTTCCTGTACTAGTTAACAACTTTTAAAAGTCCGATATTACTGACAATAAACTGAAGATCTCCGCTCCATCAAAAACAATTTTTTTAACAAATAAAAGAAAATGGTCATTTCGCACTACAACTGAATGTAGCAATAGTCTTTTCAATACCATCCTTAGTAGAAGGCTTATAAGAAAACTCACGATTCTGTCGGGGGTCCCATATATTGGACCCACATAAGTCACCTCTTACGATCATGCATGCAAAAACCTTTATAATGTAAATGGTATAACCACATAACGTAATTAAATTTAATATTATAAGACAGGTAGGGCATTCCATATAGTCCAAAGCAAACATACGAGTGATTTTGCTTCATGACATACCAGAAATGAGGCCGTAACGAGAGATAACTATATGGCAGTCAGTGTGGTGGTGAAACTCTCTATGGACACATATTCGAACTTTGCCCAAGGTACATTTGTATGTCTCCAAAGCGAACTATCTATCAAATTTCGTCAAATTTTTTTCCCAAAAATAAGACCACTACAGTGATTGCAAGAAAAATTCACGAAGTCCTGTGAAACATGTAGAAATCTATGTTGGTGACATTGCATTAAGATATCACAGATAACAAGACAATTTGAGTGTACCAGGGAAGTATATATAATTCATTAGGTGTCTCTGAGTGTACACAACATTTGTGAAGATGATTAACACAACCTTAATTAAATATACAGGAGCAGACGATAAGAGTCACGCGTACGTATTTGTTAGGATAATAACCGTAACATAGAGAATTAAAACTAGCATTTTTAAAGAATTTGAAACTAACTTTTACAGGAAACTACAAGCGATGACAGATAAAAATAAATTATATACAAAATTCAGATTGTGTGAGCATAACCTTGAACTGGCAATAGGAAGATCAAGAAAAAAAACTAGAGAGCAAAGAGTATATACATAAAAAATTGTCTTATTCTATAAGATGAAGAACACTTCTTCAGGTGTGGCTATAATGCACAGCTGATAAAGGACTATCTAAGTAATGATATATTCAAAACTATTCTATACTAGACACAAATACTTTAACACATATTTTATCTTCTGACAATATGCAACTTATACTTGATTCGTGCTAATATATAAAACAGTCACTTGAACTGAGGAGTGTGGGCCTGGCTTCTGTGTAAGTTTATTTATATTGTTCACTATTGCAGTTTCTCTGTACAAGTTACTCTGTAGCTATAAATGAACAATAAAATTATTGAATTGAATACGAATACAAGTACTAAAATATTTATGAATGTAACGGGTTCCTGTGAATCATAAATTATGTCATTACTTCCCTAATTACTGCCAACACATATCGTTAAACATTTCATAAGAAATCATCAATCAATTTAAAAAGTGCGCCACAAAAACAAGTGCTCTCAATTTCGACCAATCAGAACGCAAAATTTTCATTAATGCTGTACTGCCGCAGTATTGGCAACACGAAAACAACAATGGCCGCAGCTCTTGACACACTGTTATAGCGACGACAAAATGGAAGGTATTTTTGGGAGAAGAAGAAACCCCTACATCGATCCCGTGATCGAGGAATCAGAGTAAGAGATCATTGAGTTTCAGGCCGTCTATGTCACATGTTATCTATCGTTGTGTTGTTCACGTCACACCTGAAAAGTACAAGACATGCACAGGTTCAGGCCTCGTCTGTCGAACACCTACAATTGTATGCTTATATATATATATATGTGTGTATATTAGCAGACGAGGCTAGTACCTAGAGAGCAGGTGTTCGATATAACATTTTCTTTAGTATCCCTCTTTACATGTATTATTGTAACGACGTTAAATAAAACTTTTGATTTGATTTGATTTGACTGGAAAACCTCAAGTCTGAACATCATTCCTAGGGAGTAGGGTAGTAGCTAGGTGTACCATGTAACTTATAAAGTTTACACTATTGACAGAGGCATCATGATGTGGTCCACTTGTCCATGCTGAATCTAAAATCGGACTAGAGGATATAATTGATAGTATCTAACCCTTGCCGTAATCCCTAGGGTCGGCTTCTGTTTATAAAGTTGACCCTGATTGCACTACAATAAGTTTGTCGTGAGTGATCAACTTTATCAGCTGCATTAGTTTTCAATCAACCCACAGTCGTGGATCTAGAGTATTTTTGTGGCAATCACCAAAATGCAATGCTGTGTACAGTATACACTACCATTTTTCTTTCTTAACTGTTTGGAATCATCTTAATTCCCCTCTCCCGTGACCCAACAGTGACAGTCTCTGCATGCTCTGCCGCATCTGAAATAGATTCAGCAGGCTGCATTCTATTAAAATAACCAGAAATAAAAAGGTAATTAAGAACATTTCGCAGACAATAAAGTCCTTTATTAAATCTGACAAGGGTACACTTGAATTCAAAAAAGAGAAGCATCTGTGTACCTATATAGATATACAAGTTCATGGAGACAAACTAAGAGCTTAGTAGGTCAGTAGATTTTGTATCTTACAGATCTGAGTCTCAGTGTACGTTCTTACACAGTGTAATAAATTAACATCAATTTTCATTACGTTTTAAGGGAGGAAAATTTTAAAGAAAAAGATGAAAAAGAAGTGATTTCTGATGCTGATCAGGAACTTGGAATTATCAATGATGATGATGAAGAAGAAGAGGACGAGTATGATGAGGATATTGATGAACTTCTTGGAGAAGATCAAGAGTAAGTGTCTTAATTTTATAGATTTTTTTTTTCAAATAAGATGTTTTAATTTTGAATATTTACATAAAAGTTAATAACAGGCCTAGGACTGTCAGTCTACAGATGACTTACTCGTTAAGACATCATTGGTGGTCACTGATGGCCCTTCTTTTCTAACCAACAGATGAAGCATCTTGTTATATTTTAGTTATCGGATAATATAAAAAGAAATGAATTTTCCTTTATTTTGAGACACCAGGACTTAGAAATTGACAAAAGATCAAAAGCAGCATTTAAAATTGAAGTATGCAATCTGTTTTAGATTTGAAGTAGTAGCTTACAGCTAATTTAACCTGCAGGTCATTCAGACCTTTGAATTTAGCAACAGCTCTCTTATGGTGAGGGCCTTTGCAATGTTATTATAATAACTTGTGCTCAAACTAGGCCGCTGCTGTCCAAATACAACAATAAAATATGTTAACAGTTTTCATCAATAGCTGAACTGTACTACTGTTACTCTGTAAATAATATGATGAAATGGTGTTGACAGAGCTTGTGTGATCATGTTTGTAACCAACAAGTGTTTCATTATATTTACTGTTTCAGTTCCAGAGGTGTTATTCCCTGGCAATCTGTTGTGGTGAAAAATGCAAGACCCCCACACCCATTGACTGTCACTCATGTCAACCAGACCATCGACTTAATGGTGAGGTGTTTCCCACTTCATGTATTTATAAAAAGAAATATGTGTATGCAGTAGTAAATGAGGTTAAATTGCTACATATCTTTGTTGATAATAGATGAAATGTTTAACAGTTATTTTAAGACACGTTTCCCCATTCTCTCAATCTCCTAAGAAGTCATCAAAAGACAATATTTGGAAAACAAGTAAACAATTACTGAAGAACAATTATCTGTAATAGCTTAAACTAAATATTTATTTTTCAGAGCCTCAAACATGCTGAGTCTGTTACTGCCTCTGAGCTACAAACATCAGAGGAATGGCTAAAGTTCCACAGCCTTGAGTATCTTCAACTCACACTCAAGGACCTGGTGGACAAGGGCAAAGTTGGAAAGTAAGGGTACTCATAAAGTCAACACTCTATTGAGGATAAGTCACTCTACCAAAACTCAACACTCTGTTTAGAATAGTTACTCTTAACTCATTGTGCTGTTAATGATACACATATATACTTTTAGTTATACATGTACTACACACTTAATGTGTTATAGAGGACGCTAACTACTAATAATGTAAACACTGTTGAGGACACATGTATACATATAGTTATACTCCCTACTAACTGTTGAGGATAGTTTACAGGATATACAACCAATATAATTTGTTAACTTACATTGACTATATATACTACACTTGTGTTAGGACACTGAACATGATCCTATGAGTGTATGATGTGTGTTTAATGTTTTTCCTTTTCTTTTGTTATATCTTGATGCAGGTCTTGAAATTTTTCATAAACTCTTTTAGTTCCATTTGTTGATGCTATTTTTTTATCAATTGGTCATTGTTAATTTCAAAAGAATATTTCTGTTACTATTGTTTTAGGTATGATCATGCTTGTTTACTTCACTTAATGTACTCAGTGCATAGTATTATTTCTCCAGTTTACAGCCAGACCATAGGACAGGGAAACCATCACAGCACATACAGTTTGAGGCTTACAATGTCAACGAGTTTGAATATCGACTGAACACGTGAGTATGGATACCATATGAATACAAAGAACCTATGTCCTTGTTTGAATACTGTACCCGAACATGTGTGTACATCATTTTTTTTAAATACATACTGAACACATGGTTACAACATCACACTATGAATATTAGACACTTACAAGTTAAAAGAGTTGATGAATTATGATATTGGTACATGTAGTAACATACTGTTTCTGTTTTCCTTTAGTTCCATAGAGATGTACACCAAAAGGATCAAGTGGCTCCTACAGGGTAGTAAACGGGTGAGCATTGTGTCTCCGAGATCATTTAGTTTGTCACTGATTTGTCTATAAAGGCCAAGCAGTACATGAAAGAGATCATTTTGCTTGTCTTGGTTGAGCTGTATTTTGTAGTGATCATTTAGTTGGTCTCTAAGTCAGTTAAGGGCAAGCAGTATATTGAAAAGATCATTTTGTTTACCTCTACTTTGTTTATCTATTGATGATCATCGTTGTATGTGGTTTTTTATTTATCTTGAGTGGACTTGACCAATTTTTCTCTAGACTGTTTTTATTAGTTTGACACTCACTTGTCCTTAAATTGTAGGTGTTTGGTAACATCAGAGGCAAGCGTGTTGCTGTTCTAGTGGACAACTCTGATGCCAATGCTGGTTTTGGGAGACTTACAACTTTTCAGGAATCTCTGATTGTAAGTAACAAAGTATTGAAGGGTGGGATGTAGGGCACTTGTGAGATGTGTGTAACTCAATGCAATTTCATTCTGTGATAACTGTTTTTTTTAACACATGGTACATATTACACATTTTATAAGTATACAATATATTGTTCAGAAGTTTGATGTTCCACACAAACTGAATTGTTAATTTGTAACCCATTACCTGTTACTAACTAAATATTATTTTTTACCTGTTATATACGTTTGGTTATTCTAGCACATGTTAGATGAGCAGTTTTCCACAAGGACGGCGATTTACCTGATGTCGTTTGGGACAGATATTGATCCTCTTTGGCCGGTCTCTCGTGATGTGAATTGTAGGATGTAAGTACCCTATATAACTGTCCAGACATGGAGTAGGTGGCATGGGTGTACCTCCAGGGACATCATCACTGTAAGATTAAGTACAAACCTAGGGGCATACATTTGCAACTGCTGTATAAAAAATGACCTGGTATATGTTGACATTTGTAAACAGAATAAAGTAAGACTTGATGTATGTTAATATTTTGTGTAGATTATAGGGAGTGTTTATAACTAAGTTGACATTTGTGTGTTTTATATACAGCAAGGAAAACCTGATTTTTGATTTGTGTACAATATAAAAAAACTTTTACGTGTTGATAATTTTGTACAGTATAAAACTTTTCATGTTTGTTTAGATTTGTGTACAGTAGAGAAAAACTGATGTATGTTGACATTTGTTACAGTATATATATAGAAAGGCTTGACCTATGTTGACATTTGTGTATAGTATAGAAGACCTGATGTATGTTGACATTTGTGTACAGTATAGAAGACCTGATGTATGTTGACATCTGTGTACTGTATAGAAGACCTGATGTAGGTTGACATTTGTGTACAGTAGAGAGACCTGATGTATGTTGACATTTGTTTACAGCATAGAGGAGGCCAAGGAGTGGGTAATGAGAATGAAGGCGTCGGGTGGCTGTAACCTCCTGAAGGCCATGAAACACGTGATGAAGATCCAGGACATAGACTCTGTAGTCATCATCCTTGGCAGTGTGTAAGTTCAAAACTTACTGTTTTGTTTAAGCATCGGAGATCGATGCTAAACATGCTGATCATGGTTTTCTCAGACCTAGAATAATGAAATCCAATGACCCAATAGAAGATATTTTATTATTGTACATTAATGTTATCTTATTCCAGTCTGTAAAGTGGTCACTGTAATTTATTGTTTATCATGTAGACTAGACCAGAACTAAGGATAAGTACTCTTAACAACATAACAACTGTTATGATAAATTCTTGGTGTTTATCCTGCAGGCCTGACCAGACCTCGGAGATACTCTGTGACTACATTCACCAGATGGGTGTTGGAGAGGAGAGGCCACTTCAAACTGTGGCATATGACTGCAGTAACCACCTCACCAATGTAAGGACACACTAATGTTACCATATCAAGAAAGTCCTGGGAGCTGAAGGCTATGGGACATTTTCAGCAATTTTAGTCAATATAAAAAGATTAGAGGGGTCATTATATATAAAACTAAAATAAAATGGGAAATATGTATGAGGGAAAAAACTTCAGTTGTAGAGTGTCAAAGGCCCCAGAGCCCCCTCCTCGATTATCCTTGTCTATACTAGATACTCATCTAATATGTAGTTAAATGTTTAAGTATGCTATTTTAATGGGTTAAATTGAGTACTCAAAGTTTAAAGCCATTAATTCTGTACAAAGTTTTGGTATAATTCTGAAAATTTCTAATATATATATCAATTATTGTGACACAATATTTCCAGTACTAGAGCCAGGGGCCCCTTTCCAAAAGTAGTGAAAATAGTGCCGTACAACGATTGATAATGAAACAGACTCAAGAACACTATATGAAATATTCATGTGTTTTTTTTGTATGACAGATTACCCTGAGGCACTTGTCGGATGCATCAGGAGGGAGTTACCATTGCTACACCGCCACCTGTGAGGTAGGTTAACATGACATCAAGGGAAATTCAATTTTCAGTAGCTGATATGAAATCTACTAGTTTCAGAGGTTGGACTAGTGGAATTATACTCCCGTGGGTTTTTAAAGAGCGTATTAATCCCCAGACTGGGTAGTTTTTGAAACCCAGAAAACCCCACGAGATCTGCCACTTCTAACATATATATATATAGAAATCAGTGTCAATACTGAAGGCTGAATCATTAATACTTACTGTTTCTTTGTTACAACAGGAGCAGATATACACAGGTACAGAAATCAGTGTCATACTGAAAGAGATTCAGAAGTGCCAGGACGTTATTAACAAGATCAAAGAGATGCGCAATGGAATGATGGGCAGTGCACTCATCAGCATCATGAATGAGGTTAGACACAAGAATCGATAGATCTTCTTTCAATAATAAATGATGTACTACATGGGACTATTTCTTCTTTTCCAATATTCTACATCACATTTGACATGTACCAGTATTTCCTAGCTGAAGTGTACAAGATGATGCCATGATGAGGGCCAGTGGGTTGCAATGTTCTCTACAGGATTTAAAAAACCCCCACTAAGCATATATACATGTAGGTGCTTGTTAATATATGTGATATGATAACTAAATATATAGATTTATTTTATGTAATATGATCAATACATTGATTAAGATTAATTGTACATTGAGTGATCATGCTGATGATTGTAAGTGTGTTGATTAACTTCTAATAAATAGGAATGAGATTAAGATTCATTAAAATCGTGATAAAAGGTCAATCAATGTTATATTTCTGTGACTAGATCACCACGGAGGTAGCCAAGCTGCCCCAGTCCCGTTTCCTACCCCGTCCACCAGGTCATGACCTTCCACTACGCATAGAAATGCCAAAATTCCAGCCCAGGACTTCTATAAATTGGATCCAGCAGCATGGTCTTAAAGGTAACAATATAATTAATGATGTCTCTAGATGTACATATTATGTACAACACCAGATATATTCTTCCAAATTTGTTTAAGATATATGTTTTATAACTGAATATGAAGATCTTGAACTATTACATTGCAGCCAAACGTCTAGACTTGTACCAGGTACTGGCTCCTAATGCATACTCCTACAAAGAGGAGTTCATCCCTGTCATCAAAAAGGCTGTCCAGTCCCAGGTCCATGAGGTAGGTACTCGTGGGTATAACTGTGTTGAGGAGCAATGCAATCTCAAGAAACTATAACACAACCATAATTCACTTGATAAAATTATAAAATTACACTGTCTACAATACAACTTCTGATGTCTGTGTTTATGTTACAGAAAGCCATGGTACAGTTCCAGTGGCACGATGGGTCCATGAAGAACATCCATGTGGACATGACCCACCTGTTTGAGTACCAGAAACAACTCAATGAGGTAGTCAGTCTGTACGAACGCCGCATCAACTGGCTAGCCTGTGGCAGCAGGAGGCTATTCGGATCAGTTACTGAGAAAAAGTGGGTCATACATGGTGTCAAATATTGACAGCAATATTATGATTTTATTTGCATTTTCTGAAGGGCAAGAAAGCTTATACCATGGTGAAGTGTTCCTTGTTTATTTATCCCTCCAGCTCCAAGTCATATTTCATGCCCTTGCCTTTTCTATGGGTGGCATGAAGTGTTACAGAACCTATTTATGTCCGTTCCATTACACTGAATCCAATCGCAACACACCATCATCCCTGTAACAACTTAATTTCTTCATGGGTTTGATCAAAATTGATGCAAACATCAATGAGTGTGAGAATACAACAAATGAATTTGTGTTTAATGTTTTAAAGATCAAGGTCACTTTTATTATGTATGGAAAATGTTCAATCAATGCAGTGATGTCACTCTGACAACTTTTTTTTTTACTTAAGATTTTGATAATGTTTTGTACAAAGACCAAGTATTTATGAAAATACTAAATATTTCCAATGGTCAAGGTCACTGTGAATCTAATCTACAATGGAGTATGCATTCGCTTGTAAATCTAGTGTTAACTTGCTTGCTATTCTCTTTGTTAAAACATAATTTGAGCTACAAACGTACTTTGAAGGTCTCAGATACAAGATATGGTTGTCCATGACTTTGAAAAACAGGAGTGATACAGGCCCGTAAGGCCTCATGTTTAATACAATTATTAATATAGGATGCAGATGGCGGTATAACATAATCTGTTTATTTATTTACAGTGTTGTGATCCTAGTTGACATGTCTGTGTCCAATGTTAACTACTTGGTCCACATCCAGCACTCTCTGAGGATAATGTTGGAGCAGCAACTTGCCAACAAAAACTTCTTTAACATTGTCGCGTAAGTGTCACTAAGCCGCTGTGTAAGACTCTACCCTCAGTCCTGAAAACTTTTTGAACAAATCTGAAAATATTTTTTGTGTTATGTATTATTAAGGGAATATTTATATAGGAATCCTGTACTGCACTTTCCGTCATCTGTCAGCAACTGTATGGCTAATGTCCAGGGTATCATGAGAGGATACTTGATAACCTTTGAACTTTATATTCAGGATATACATATTACTACTGTAAGGTTCATTTTGGTATTAGTTTTGTTATATCACATACTTAATATCTTTTTATGAATTCATCAAGACAGGCTGCAATATAAAGTAAACATCTTAATGTTAAATCTGTCAGTCCAGACATAGATATTTACAAAGTCACTCCAGATATATATATCTCTACACAGTCAGTCCAAACATAGATATTTAACAAGTCATTCCAGATATATATATCTCTACACAGTCAGTCCAAACATAGATATTTAAGACATAAACATCTACACAGTCACTCTATATCTAGACATAAACATCTACATAGTCACTCTATATATATATCTAGACATAAATATGCACACAGTCACTCTAGACATAAGTTTCTACTGTATAAATTTAAACATAAATATGTACACAGTCATTCTAGACATGAATATCTACACAGTCACTATAGACATGAATATCTACACAGTCATTCTAGACATGAATATGTACACAGTCATTCTAGAAATGAATATCTACAGAGTCACTCTAGACATAAATATGCACACAGTCACTCTAGACATAAGTTTCTACTGTATAAATTTAGACATAAATATGTACACAGCCACTCTAGACATAAATATCTACACAGTCACTCTAGACATGAATCTGTACACAGTCATTCTAGACATAAATATCTACACAGCCATTCTAGACATAAATATCTACACAGTCATTCTAAACATAAATATCTACACAGTCACTCTAGACATGAATATATACACAGTCACTCTAGACATAAATATATACACAGTCATTCTAGCCACAAGTATCTACACAGTCATTCTAGACATAAGAATCTATGTGTTGATGTGATGTTTATGTCTCCTTGGCTTTAGGTTTGGTAGTAGACATGAATATCTACACAGTCATTCTAGACATGAATATCTACACGGTCACTATAGACATGAATATCTACACAGTCATTCTACACACAAATATCTACACAGTCAATCTAGACATGAATATCTACACAGCCACTCTAGACATGAATATCTAAACAGCCACTCTAGACATGAATATCTACACAGCCACTCTAGACATGAATATCTAAACAGCCACTCTAGACATGAATATCTACGCAGTCACTCTAGACATGAATATCTACATAGTCATTCTAGACATGAATATCTACACGGTCACTCTAGACATGAATATCTACACAGGCACTCTAGACATGAATATCTACACAGTAACTCTAGACCTAAATATCTATACAGTCACTCTAGACATGAATATGTACACAGTCACTCTAGACATAAATTTCTACACAGTCACTCTAGACATGAATATGTAGACAGTCATTCTAGACATGAATATCTACACGGTCACTCTAGACATGAATATCTACACAGTCACTCTAGACATAAATATATACACAGTCATTCTAGACACAAGTATCTACACAGTCATTCTAGACATAAGAATCTATGTGTTGATGTGATGTTTATGTCTCCTTGGCTTTAGGTTTGGTAGTAAGGCAGTAGGGTGGCGTCCCATCATGATGAAACCAACTACTGAGAATCTGCAGGATGCTTGGAGGTATAGTATAGCTAAATGAACATCTTGTTAGTGCTATTTATTTGTAATATAGTTATGGTATAACACAATGTAGTTATTTTGAAATCAAAATTTGCCATTTCTTCTCACGTACAAGATATGTACCGGGTTATGCTATATATCCTAATATGAACATCAAGAAACCTTTGATTCTTTTATTTGTGGTACTGCTTTAGGTAAGGCTCTCAAAAACAAGTGTTAAGCCTACTGTTGCAGGGTAGGGAACTATTAAACACACACATATTGTTTTTCTGAAAGAAAATACTATTACAATGGTGCAGCTATCTTTTTTCATTTTCACTATTTTTATTTTTTCAATATTTCACTATTTGACACAAACGTTTATCTGTATTAAAGACAGGGAACCACTGATTTACTCCAATGGTAAATCAATGGGAACTCATCTTCAAGTTAGTTTTATTTCTTTTAACTTTGATTGATGTACTTACATTTTCTGAGTACTGGATCAACAGTATGTGACTGAGGTAATTGTGACTGAGGTAGTTGTTTTGTTCTGTACAGATGGGTACTGGACCTACAATGTGGAGGCAGCAGGAACTTCATGTCTGCCTTCAAACTGGCCATTGAGAATGAGCAGGAGGCCAGTCACCACATAGGTCAGTTGTATAGATACTTACTATGTCCGAAATTATGTATCACCTGTACTCCGGGGGCTTTGATTAAAGGTTAAACTTTCACTTATCTTTGGATGATACTATTCAATTTGGGTAATCCTCAAAGTTGAATAATGAGATTAAATTTACCTAGGCCTAACTGTACTATATGTAGATATCTCACAATAACCAAATCAAATTAGACAGTTAAACAGTTCTAAAGACACTTAATTTCACTTTTTTTTTAATATTTTATAACACATTAGCATAATGAACAATATCAGAGATAGTGATTGCAGTCCCAACAAAATTATCAAGTCAATTTCAGAACTATAATTATCATACATGTAAATCATCTGATGTAAAAGATTGAATAATCCAAATATGATTTAATTAATTGTTAGAGGTAATGTCAGTATAACACACAGTGTTTGGTATGTTACAGAACCAGAGGGAATATACCTGTTTACCAGTGGCGTGCCCGATCAAACCCTGGATGTGGCTTCAGCATTCATTGAACAGGCAACATCGGGCAAAAATGTCAAACTGCATGTGGTCCTGTTCAATGTAGATGATTACAATTCAAATGGAGCCATTCCAAGTCGCTACGCCAACATCACCAGGACATCGGAGGTTCTAAGAAACATGGCACACTGCACCAACGGGAGGTTCCATTGGTTCAGAGAAACAGGTCGGTGTACAGAGGTCAAAGCTTTTGTAATATTTGCTGTTGATTATTATTTAATTACCAAATAGTTTGACTCCGACTGTAGTATTGGGAACAGAAGTCTTCTAATATCTGCTGGTGGCTTTTACATATGAAAAATTTAAATACAGTTAAACCCATGAGTATTATGAATTTTCACAAGGTAACCATTCCAAAACCAACCGAATTCCTTTATTTAACTCAATGGTTAAGATATGAAAGATTGAAAAAATTACAGTCTATATTATATATATATATAGTGCTTTGTATTCTTCAAAAAGATTTTTTCTTATTTAGCTTTATTGATTTGGAACTTGTTTTTCATGATAACTAACCGGTGACTATATGAAATTTGTTTATGTTGTAGGAATCATTGAGAGTGATGACATCCAACACATTACAGCTGAGATAGACAAATCACTCAACTTCTCCAGGAAGGTCCAGATGTTGGTGGAGTCAGTCAAACAGAAGTACAGAGACAGATATGTATGTATTTACAAATATTTAGTACTGTACATTAGGTATTTAATATAGAGGCTGATATATCATCTACAAGGAGTTTGATTTTGACCTTGGTTTTAGGTTAAATATTATACAATGTTATATGCTTGTTTATGTGATGACCTTGTACATCGCTGTTCCAGCACCATCAATACCTAGACCAGATAAAAGCATTACCTGCCCCTGAGTTCTCCCATCTGAAAGCCCGTAGCCTGCCTGCTCCAAGGCTGCCTATCGAGAGTGTCAAACCGGTAGGTAAAAACAATGAATTCTCCAATTTTGGTAAAATAATCATTACCTGTTAATTAAGCCATGGTTACAGCAGATTATTTTAAAGGAAAGTATACCTTTATGTTATACTGATAATGATGTCACTGAGATCACTTCTGTAGATTACCCTTGTTTTCTGACAAAAATGTCAAAGAGATATTAATAAAAACTTTCAATCACTAATACATTGCTTGATATTTATTTTCGTGAAAATTCATATTTGGACTTGATTCTGAATTTCAGTATCATACAGTTCATGAAATCAAACCTTTTAGGTTTTCAGTGATATCTATGTGTTTTTGTGTGTGTAGAGGAGTGCCCGTACTGATTATGAAACAGAGACAATGACATCGCTACGTCTGCGGCGACCGACAAGTGCTACTACAACCCGGGAGGCTACAACACGGACATCAACACGAGAGCGACCTATCTCAGCCAAGGACCCTATGGCTCGGGTCAAAACCAAGAAAGTAGTAACTTCAAGTTTTTTTCTGGACGGCAAAGGCCAGACTGGTGATGGAACAGGTATGTTAGTTAGACTGGCTCAGTCATATATAGATATATTATACAAGTCACACTGAATATATGGGTCACACTGGAGATGTAAGTCACTAGGGTTTAAGGCGTGTTGTCGTACTGGGGGTATATATATATAGGTGACAATAATGAGATATTGGTCAAATTTTTGATGAGATATTATTTTATAGTTCACACTGGTAATGCTAGTATGTACAATGTTAGGAAGTACCTGTGGTTTGCTTAGAATTGTCTTCACCACTAGAACTTGATGTTTGATGTTGTAGGTACAGTGTTTAGGAAGTACCCGGCCACGAAGTCCGTGAGGAGAGGGGTGGTGGATGTCACTATCCCAGACCATGAGGACGTCCAGACATCCAAAGAGGTAATTTATTACCTACTTAATAGTTATTGCTGTACAGCCATTACCAAACTGTAATTTTACTTATGGTCCAAATCCACAACATAAGATATACCTATGCATGTAGTAGAAAAAAAACATGTTTCCAAGATGCTTCATTGTATAAACTTGTGTTTAACTGAAATGTTATGTTTTGTTGTGTGTGACATAATATTTCTTATGCATTGTATTATCAAAATAAATTGCTACCTTAAAACAATTGCAAGGAATTGCAATGTTTATGATTGAAACATTCTATTGTAATCATGTTGTATGTTTTAGTGGCTGAGGCTGTACAGCTTGTCAAAGCTCAAACTCGACCTCAATCGGATGGTGTCTGGCCCTGACTGTAAACACAAGGAGAACAGTGTGAAAAGTCTCCACAAAAACGTCTCTGCAAAGTAAATCATTGTCTTGTTTCTGTCAAAATTCGATCAAATGAGTCAATGCTAGCACAAATCAGGTGGATGTAGTGTAGCAGTTGTATCTGGCATGGATATTGAAAGCGAGTCATGCAGGGTGATACATAACACTACAGTGATGTGTAATGTTATGTATAGAGGTTGGGATTGATTACTAGCATCTTGTTGCATTTGGCACATTTTATTTTGTTTGTTGTAGACGACTCATTCATAAAGGCTTCAGATGTATTGGCCAACTCTCATCTAGTTACAGTATTTAAACATTATTCCAGTAGTAAGTCGGTGAAAACAATATTGTTTCTTATTGTACCTAGGTATTGTGACATCTTCCCCACGGTGAACGTTAAAGGCACAATGAAACACCTGCAGTTACTTCCTCATGAGCTGAAGGACTATGAAGCACAGACAGAGAAAGTCTTGCGACGCTATCTTAAACGTCTGCAATGGCTGCTCAGTGGTGAGTACACAGAGAAAGTTTTATAACACTTTATAAATCTTATATAAACATCTGCAATTACTGCTGAGTGGTGCATGAGTACATTGTACACACAGAAAGTCTTATGATGCTATCTTCATCGTCTACAATGGCTGCTAAATGATAAGTACACAAGTAGAAAAGACTTATAATTAACACATTTAATAAAAAAAAAAATATAATAATTTCTCTTCATTGCAACAAAATCAAGCAACGCAGATGGTCGCATGTACTTTCGTACTGTAGTTGTGATTATTTCATATCTTTGCTACAGGGAGTCGACGGGTGTTTGGGACATTGATCCACAAAAAATGTGTGATTCTAATTGACACGTCTGGGTCAATGGACCCCTACATGACTGAGCTGAAGAAGGAAGTGGCCGCCCTGATCTGGGATCAGCTGTATAGACTGGGAGCCAGGTTTGTACTCACCTAAGCCTGTACCTAACAATAATTTGTATTCCTGTTACATATTGGGATCTCTTGAACTGATTGTATATTACTGATACAGACAGTGAGGCGTAGATCTGACAATGTATTAATGATACAGACAGTGAGATCTAGATCTGACAGTGTATTACTGATACAGACAGTGAGGTGTAGATCTGTCAGTGTATTACTGATAATCGCTATCGTAAAATCAGACAGATTAATCCCTACAGTTAGAAAATCCCGAACAAACCACCAGTTTTCGTATCAAATTTCCCACTCAAAAACCCAGACCAGAAAGGCATCATTCTTCCCTCGAACTATACCCGAGTGGAATAAACTCCCACCTGACATTATTTCGAGCCCCACAACGGAATTATTCAAATCAGCCCTCTACCGTCACCTTTCAAACGCAAATTAGACCATCTCGTATCTTTTAAAAA